GACTGACCTGAGCAGACTGCTAGTCTCCTCACTGCTATGCTGCTGCAGGACTCCACCACCACCTCCCACTGTGACCCTTGCCCCCTGCACAGGGGAAAGGCACCATCAGAAAATGTAATTTTTTTCTGACATGAGCTGCAATGTGACCCAGGGAAAACAAATAGGGTGTTTATTTCAAGGGAGTGAGAGAGGCCCACAGGCTGGAGCCACCTTCAAGTTACCCAACAGTAGCTTTGCATTAAAGCTGTTTTTGTTTCACATCTAAACTCCAGTAATACTCCAGTGGCACTGTGATGCAGAGACTTCTGAGATTTTTGCACAGAACTTTGCTGATTTCTGCAAAAGAACTGTACCTGTATCTTCCAAGTTATTATCTATTGTAGATAACAAAACACAAACAGTTCGCATCCTTAGTGTCTTCCAGTTATTCCTCCTCAGTGCTCAAAGCATTCACAAAGACTTTGGTACTAGCCGGTCTGCCCAGCTGTCAACCTAGATTGGCCTCCAAAGAACTGGAAATGAACCATGCACCAAGATCCTGCCTTTGTTTCCAAAACCTCTAAACTCCCTCTCACAGAGACATCCACACCTCTCTGTGATCTATGGGGACTCTAAAGAGCTTGGAGACAGACAGAGTTCTTGTTATACCACAATGGTCTAAAGAAGACTCTGGCACACTTAATGTTTCTCCCTCCCTCCTACGTGACCACCATCACTACAAACAGAGGATCACTGCACAAAAACACCCTCTCCACCTCCTCCTGTCCCAGAGAGGCTGTTTTATCTGCTGTACCTCTTTTTTGTTAGGAAATTATTTTCTTTGAGTTCACAGACACTGCCAGTACCTCAAGTACCATCTCCGACTGTGCTGGCACCAGTGGGACCACATACCTATGACAAATCTATAGTGTGACAGGTGATGAATCACCAGCAGTCATGATATTTTAAGCACCTACTTTTATGGGGAATAAATAATACATAGGCCGGCAGAGTGTGGAACCTTTCCCATCTCAGGGCTCCCTTTGAGAATTGTTCCTGTTTTGAATTAGTATTAGAGGTGAGATGATGCACATTGGTCTCCTTGCATTTTCAGTCCCACGGCTGCCTCTGCACTTCTTCTATTCCCCAGTCAGTCTCTATCGCTGCCTTTCTCTCATCAGTGTCTCACTTCTTTTCCTTCAGAATCCCAACCATACATTTTCTCTTCAACTCTGTGTCTATCCACCCTTCTCCGGCCTCATCACTGTTACAGCTGAGCATAGAGGGATCCAATCAACCGTAGTGCTCAGATTAAATCGCAAATTATTATAATTGAAAATAATGGTTTCCATGTCAGTGTCTGTTCATCTTGGAAACGCTCTCATACATATCTGGAAACGAGGAAGTTGGGAGCTCAGAAATCCAGTGACACTTGTGTCATCGCAGGGTGAAATTAAACTTATCTATGATCCAATTAAAACTTTGTCTATTGCACTTTGCCTGTGATTGTCAATGAAGAACAAAAGATCATGAAAATTAAGTCAAACAGAGGTTCTCCAGAAATGTAAACACTTTTTCCTAAAGTTGAACAAGTAATACTCAAAAGTAATACTACCAAATTCAGTTGATAAATACAGATTAGCATTAGGTCACTTAAAATAGGGCTACTTCAAAATCTATAAAGAAAGGAGTCATAAATCCCTCAAGGGCACATCCACGGGACATAACAGACTTCAAAAACGTCATTAAGACTTGGCCTCTTTATTACTAAACCAAAGTGTGCCCTGCCAAGCTTATTTGTAGGGGCAGTAAAGCTCTCAGGTATGTGCAGGGCATGCAGTGTGACTTTGACAGCATGGTTAGGAGGCACTGATGAAAGAGGGAGGCTGGGAGCCTACTGCCTCTCAAATTAGCCCCATAGTCCTCCGACCTACCCTTCACAGTCTGTTGCACCGCACCACCAGTGTGCTCTTATGGAGCTTTGCATGCTTGCAGCATGCCTTCGTGTAATATGTGTCGTGCATGTGCAGCACGTGTTTGGCTATGAATACACAAACATACAACGATTTTCTTCTTCCTTAATGTAGATCAGAGGTTGTATTAGAACAGAGCATCCTCCTCTTGCTGTCAAGGCTCATCGCAAAATTTTCTGGGACCTCCCACAGTTAGAAAAATTGTCTCCAGCTTCCAACTTTGCCAACTTCAAATTGACAAATTTTTTTTAAATAGACACATTTTTCCATCATTTTTTTGTCATCACGTAAGAAAGTAAAGCTGGATACACTCCCCGGGATTTGTTCACCAAGTAATTAGGTTAGTGTTCATCTTTCAGTCTCCGGTTACAGTACGAGTCCAGCAGCACCACAGAGAGCCAGACAGACAGTCTGCATTAATGAAAGAGAGAGCTCTCTGCTCTTCTCACCTCCTCTAATCTATTCTACATGTACATTGCTCAGCCTGACACCATCTCTGCAGATTCAGCTGGTGAGTGTTTGTTTAGTGAGGTGAAGGAACATTCATAACCATAAAACTGACTGGGCAGACAGATTTTAATGACTTTATTGTCTTTTTCTCCCACATTTTTTCAGCAAAGACAAAACCTAAAATCTGTGCACATGCACTCAACTTGCTTGTCTTCACATGTACTTTATTTACAGAATAGGGTCTAGGCCTGGTTTGTCCTTACAGTTTCTCCAGTTATTCCAGCTATGTACACAGAAGAAATCAAAAGCAAAAAGGAGAAAATAAACAAATGTTCATTCCTCCTCTTACCTGTGAGAAGTTGAGCCCATTTAGGGGATGACATTGCTCCTCCACTCGCTCCACTGCCCCTGTTGTCTTTCCCATTCTCTCAGCCTCTTGAGCTAAGAATAGATCCAGCACTGGCGTCCCCCTGGACCGAACGTCCCACTCTGTCAGCGAGTTGACCATCAGCATCACCCACACAGGCCTTTTCCTCTCCCAGTTCCCTGCAATGGCATTGAACAGGTAGTCAGCATACAGGCCGCGGCCACGCTGGTCAGCGGTCATCCAGTAAGGCATCATGTGTTTGATATAGTCCAGGTGGCGTTTGAGGCGGCGGTACAAGTCTCGAGGTAGCAGCGTCTGCAGATTCTCCCCATGGGGCAGCAGCTGGCAGCTGGTCAGCTTGGAGATGGTCAGAGGGTCGGTCAGGTCCAGCTCAAAGAAAACATTGGGGCTGCTGTGGAAAAGTAAGAAGGAGGATGAGGAGGTGCGCGCTTTATTGTCCAGAGGAAGGAGTTCATGTCACTTTGCTGTTGAAAAGACAGAGGAAGAAGCAGAGGAAAGAAAATAAGGTCTGGGTAAAAAAATCCTGAGAGCAAAGGAAAACAAAAATACCAGAACCATCGAGTTAGAGCAATTCAGCCGACCTTGAAATGAAAGCTGACACATTTTTCCTCTATTGTGGTTTACTGGCTCATAGGCTCAGGTCAGCAAGTTAAAGACAAACTTTTTACATGACGACAAGGGACGTATGTACAGTGAGGGCTTGCTGCTTGTGGTGCAAGGAGGGAATTAATAGAGGGGCCTTCTGGGCTGTAAACAGACCCCAGTGTATTGTTAAGGTGCATACCTCTGTTGCCAAAACCTCTTTCAGCAAGGGACGCGTTCTGAAGGCTGCAGTGCAAATATACTGCTCTCCTTTCTGACCCCGCTGTGATACTTTTGTTTGTGATTTTTTTTTTGCACCAGGTAGGGGGATGTGAAGCAGACAACCTTAAGTTTGTCCTCTGCGGTTTATATTACAGGAAAGGTTTGTCTGTTGTGTGGTTATCTTTATAGAATAAATGTCAGCATGGAAATAAAATAATCATAGACATTCTAAATGAGCATTATTGGCTGTAGAATATGTTTCTTGTTAAGTAATCAGCCAGTGTGCTGAACATGCGCTGGGACTTTGATTGTTTGCATTATTCAGATATGAAAAAATGAATTAGCTTTTATGAACAGTATCAAATCAGGCAGTTGAGGGATGAAACCCATTAGTGTAAAATAAAGTTATTCTTAGGAAATGTTTACTTCCAAAGTTAATCAAGATTTCCTACAGCAACGTTACACTCAAGGCTGCCTTTGTCATATAAAACTAGAGCTGCCTGAGCTTGTGAGATGTTCATAATTTACAGCACTGAACATCCACTCTCCTTGAGACACAAAAATCTAAAGTTCTATATTTAATTTCAAAGCGCCATTTAGTCTTTGCAGATCCACTACAGACTAACGGGAAATTTTGGACAGCGTGTGAAGCATTGCTCTCCACGGAAACTTAAAGAGTGCAGCATTTTGTAGCTAATTTGTTAATGAGAAAATACATGTATGCGCTTATCCATAAATGAAGACTGTGCTTGGGTAAGAGAGTTCTCTGCTAAAACTGCGTGGAGTTTTCCACAGAACCTTGACGCGCAGTGGGCCTGTTTTTTGTAGAGGTAATTACTCTTAACAGAAAACAGAGACCACTGTACCGACGCACAAAGCACATGAGGCGAAGGAACACCAGTGATCTCTGACATTATCCGCATCACTAATGAAACAAAGCCTGTGATCTGTTAAACGGCTCCCTAATGACATGATCCCCAGGAAATGGGAAAACCCACCAAGTGGTATTTAAAATTCATTTCAGATTTGTATAGGCTAAGAGAAGCACGTTGGATATGATGTTTACAGTCATGAATTTAACGTTGTCCTTGATGTGCATCCACAGCGGAAGGCAGACGGACGGGCAAGCGCATTATGGCGCTGGAGTGGCTGATCTGCACTGCGCTTCCTCACGGTACGAGTTCAAGCCACATCTATGATTTTGCTAATATGTCCGATAAATGTTGCAATAGGCCGAAAAATGATCACATCTCAAAGGTCAGGGAAACTTTTCAAATGAGGTTAAATCACCCGTGGGTGTTCCCCACTTGCGTTTGTCATAGAAACAGCTATAAAGTTGGCGAGCGGTAACAAAACTTGGCAACACCTAAGGCCTGGATCTCTTCATGGGAGCTATAGCTGCGAATTTTCGGAGAAGTTTAGAAATGCCTGTCGTGCACATGTTAGACGATAATCACACTCACGGACTGTACATTAGGGCTATTGGGTGTACACTAATATCAATGCAGAATTATTATTATTATCATTATTATTATTATCAAAGAGTAATTTTCAGGCGACGGTCTGGCAACCCACATGCGTCTTACAATTATAACACCTGCATTAACAGTTTTTTCTTGACCATTTATTCTCATTGAGCATGAATTAACTCGTTTATAATAGAATATATTAAAAAGCGTAAAAAGCCGTAACCTTTGATCCTGTAAAATGTTTAAGGCACAAAAATGATGCTAATGAAGGTGTGACCTCCCCTCAAAATAACAAATATTAGCCTATTTCTCCCACTACAAATTATGAACGTGAAAGAACATTTTAGGATGCTTTTGTCCAGTGTCGCCTTGCGACCTCTGTGACTTCTGTAGGCTGAATAACCTGACCGATAGAGTAAAAGTGTATGTGGGGTTGGAATACGTTTCTCTCTCGGGAGAAGTGGGGTGTCTTTGGCGTGTCTCCAAACAACTTACCGACTTTGGTGCGTCGCACCGCCTGGGTCTGTCCGGCCGCTCTGCGCCCCAGGGTGCCGCCGTATGCAGGAGAACGCCCAGGAAGACCCAGCTGAATCCCTGCATACAGACCATCATGTCGAGGTGACAGGACACTTGTGACAGTCACCTCTCAGAAGACGCTTATCTCGCTCCTACTGCTCTTCTCACTGCCCTTTTCCCGTGTCCTTTGAAACACACAAACGTTACCGGTGCCTCACATGTGTTGCTCGGCTTGAGGACCATTCCGCCCTTTCGCCATTCCTTACGCTCTTCACTTCTCAGCTTGACTATTTCAGAAACTTTTCCTGTCTCCCTTCAACTCGCCTGCTGTCTTTAAGTAGGAGCTGAAAACTTTCCGCGGTGCGCTCCGCAGGTTTGGAGCGTCTTGAATGGGAGAGAGGGAGGTGGGACGATTTGAGTAACCCCCCATCCCAATAGGCTACATACACCATACACACTCCACACACGTACCCCGTTTCTTTTAAGAGGAGGGAACACAGGTTCAGACAGGGATGACAGGCTTGCGTGCGTAAAGTAGTGTTACTGTATATTCTTATAACGTCCTGTTGGCCTTATTCAGCAAGGTCAGTTTTCTGTCCAGTGGTTTTACTATATACTGTCATGTTCAGGTCTATTTTTGATCTCAGGTGGCATATACAGACCTGGCAGCCAAGAGTTTTGTTTTGCTTGATTTTCAGCGGAGTCATTTTAAAAATGTA